CTCTCACACTCCCCCAGGACACTTCTGACACTGAATGTGTGTGGGATAGAGGAGGTTCCACACCAAGTAATTCTCCAGTTCTCTACAGACACCAAGTGAGTGTCCTATAATTAAATTCAACTAAAGACAGTGCAGACCCCACAGGTTAAGGGCTCAGCTCTACAAGTCTGCCCCACCACACTCCAGATGCCAGTCTAAATGTGGCCCCCAGGTCTCTGTATTTTACATCAGAGGTTTCCTAGACCCCCTCCTCAGGTTTGATCATTTGCTAGAGTAAGAAAGATCCAGAAGTGTCCTAAGCACAAGAGCATTTTTTCCTATGGAGTGTGAGGTGTTCCATCCTCCTGATAAGTGGATGTATCCTTATCAACCCGAAAGCACCTCAAAATCAGTCACTTAGGAGTTTTACAGTGGTTGCATTGCATAGGCTTTTTTTTTCCAGCAAAAATATTTTAAAATTTATTTATTTTTATTTTATGATTTCTTATTTACATTCAATCATTATAAATCTTGAGAACACACAATGTATTTTGTCAAAGTATGCATGTAGTGCGTGACAACCGGATCAAGGATATTACCATATGCATCATTTTCAACCAAGAACTTTACTTCACCTTTACTTCCTTGTGTCGGTCCAGTGGGATTCCATAACCATGGTTAATGAAATCATTAGCCATTGTTGACTAACTCAACCTCCAGCCTCAGGTGGGGGGATGGGGATAAAAGTTCCAACTCTAACCATAAGATTATTTCTCTTGGCAAGGCAGCCCCATCCTGAGGTTACCTACAGACTTTCCAAAAGTCATCTCATTAACATGAAGTCAGGTGTGGTTACAAGGTGCTTGTTATCAATAAAAAAGATGCTTCTTTCACCCATGATAAGAACCTTTTAATGAACCACAGACAAAAACTGAATATTATCAGGAACCAGGGGCAGAGACTAAATATTGGGTTGTTGGAAAAAACATGATATAATTTTTTTGTTTATCTATGCAAAATGCATCATGACATTTGAGACAACCCAATATATATTTCCATTTTTTTTCAAGAGAGAAACATTTGACTATAGGATACATGCACTTGCCAGAGAGACAGAGAGACAGAGAGACATAAAGTGAGAAATTACACCCAGGGGGAGTGGCCATGCCATTCTCCTCAGAATTTTGGGCACGCACACACGCCCAGCCTGAATTTCAAGCCTCTGGGTCTGGGACTCAAACCGCAATTGGGCAAGTGAGAGTCCAGCAACATAACCATTAAGCCATTTGCTGGTCCCTCAATATATATTTCTTACGATGTCACAAAGGTAAAGTTCACTGACCTGCCTCAGGCCAAGGCTGGTGGGCAGGAAACACTGAGGTACTAGGTAGACTCTGGGAAGAAGCCTGCAGTGACACCAAGCAACCTCACCCAAAGGCGAATGGATCTGGGCCTTCTGTGTGACACTGGCGGTCACATCAAGATAAAAGGCATGTCCTCTGCTCTACCTCGCAGTGCCCCTGTCAGAGCAATTTACGTACAAGGTCTGCCATGCCAGATGGTGGAGAATGAATGTTGACAGGGATTCAGGGTGATTCTTAAAGGCAAAACTTATGGCTGGGGAGGAGGATTACGTCAGTGCTATACGGAGGAGTTTCATACGCCAATGATTGGCTAATCCTATGACGAGAGGAGCAGGACGACCTCATAGTCACCTGGGGTCAGGGTGGGAGTTAGTGAGTCTGGCACACTGTAAAATTATTTTTAGGAAAGAAAAATAAGTTGGATGCTCATTGTAAATGAATCTCTCTGAAATCTGCATGGGCTTGGGAGATGATAGGTTAGGACCAACTTTGTCAAGGTGAGTTGACGTTCCCCCTTCCTGAGATATCAACTTAGTTAATGAAACCTTGGGGACAGGGCCAAAGGTCATTGTTTTCTCCTCTGGCCAGCCTGGTTTACAGGCCAACAAAGAAACATCAGAGCAAAGGCCTTTCCAGTACTCTGGGGAGAAAAAAGGGGACCTATCAGCTTTCTTAAGTTTTTTTAATTTAATGATGTGACATTTTAGCATGAGTGACTCCACTGTGCTCTGATCTCTTAGGGCCTAGAGAAGGAGCTTAGTTCAAGACCATGGCCTCCTGTAATTTTTATTTGATTTTCAACAATTTCTTTCTTTTACTTCCCATGCAGTGTCTTTTTACCCTCAGCCAGAACCATAGCTGGTCAGACTTCTTTACCTGGTGTAATAAAGATGCCTTCATTCCTGGAGGGGCTGAGGCCTCAACAGTCCTGCCTCTCCCTGGTTACTGTGGTTTTCCAGTAACCTTGACACTGGACTTGGAAGTACAAAGGGGCAGTGCATTGATTAACTGGAGTCATACGCCTGGTCAAGGCTTTCTGCAACTCACTCTGCCTCTGGAAATTCTCTTCACTCACATCCTACTCTGACAGTCATCACTTCCTCTGGCAGCTGTCCTCTTCTTTCCTCCTGGTAAAGACACGAAATGGGAACCCAGGCCCTTATCTTAATTTCCTAAATGGACACACATTACCAGTTTTTCACCAGTAACAGAAACTGACTGAGGTTTGGAGAAACATGTGTGTTTCATTGATTCCAGAGTAGACAGTGTAATAGCACAGGATTAAGCTCCTCTTCTCTTAGAAGCCCTCCAGCCATCCATATGTCTTAACATTCTTGGGTGACCAGCTTTTCCAGTCAGATAGTCCAGACACCTCACAATAATCTGGTGGCCGCCCTCAACCTCTGGTCCCTCTGCCCACACAAATTCAAGTTATATAAAATAACCCTCCCTTAGTTCTGCACAATAGTTCAGCCCTCAGTCCCTTTCATAAACAAATAATATAAAAATACCATGAAAGTTTTTAAAACCAAACAAAAAAACAACTTGTCATACTTAAATTCAGGCTACCCTTACCAACTCAAATGGTAACCAAACTTTTTTCTTTTCAAAGACAAGTTCTCATGACACGATCCTCCTGCCTAAGTCTCCCGAGTCTCTAGAAAATAGTTCAGCCCTCAGTCCCTTTCATAAACAAATAATATAAAAATACCATGAAAGTTTTTAAAACCAAACAAAAAAACAACTTGTCATACTTAAATTCAGGCTACCCTTACCAACTCAAATGGTAACCAAACTTTTTTCTTTTCAAAGACAAGTTCTCATGACACGATCCTCCTGCCTAAGGCTCCCGAGTCTCTAGAATTACAGGCAAACACCACTGCATCCAGCCTTCAGGTTGGATCATAATCACACCCATGTGTCCCGGCCCTCAGAGCACAGCATCTCAGCAGCACTGCCCACTGTGACTGGCCCATGGGCAGCTTCTACCTTCTGCTTCCTGAGCACAGGCATGACCTGACGTCCTCACACCCACACCCCAGGAGGCTGCATCCAGAGAGGGGG